ATTGTCACCATCATGGGACAAAGGGTATAGTATCATCACTTGAAAAGTCATGATTAGTAAATAAGAAAAAATTATTTTATTTTTCTTTAGTAACAAAAGAAACCAGTCACACTTTAATGAAATTTAAATTTCATAAACTATCACAAATGTCACATAATTGATTAATAATTCTAAAAATACATCCATTCTAGGCAATGCTGAGGAAAAGAATGAAGTTATTTCGAGCACAAGTGCTCATCATGCATTAGCAAAGTACATGTTAAACTAGGCCTCGAGAAATCCTGGGTGCCAAGTCACCATGGCAACTAAAAATTTCATTGTAGCTTCTAGAATTTTGTCACAATTTATTTGTGCATAGGGCTGTGCTTAATACAAATCGAATCTAGAACAGTCCTGGACTCTTGAAAGTCTGGAACTATTTTTGCTTTCTTTGAGTCCTAAATCAAACTTTGTTTCTAGGATTTTAATGGCAGATTCAAAACTTCTTCATGCTTTTTCAGGAATGAAGTGATGCTGTTACAAAACATATTACTAATTTCATGACATTTTGTTTTTCATCTTTCTCTCAATTCAACCAATCAGTGAGCGTATTTAGACATAGATGGGACCAAAGGCAGTTAGTTCAGGCAAAACTACCAAGTGCTTGTTGATATCCTATAATTGTTAGCATGCAATTGTTACTGTGAAAGTAAATAAATATACACTGGTGCCTCAAATATCCACACTGGTTCGGGGAAAACACAAAATCGTGGATAACAGAAACAGTAAACAATTGAGGTATTTGTGTATCTCACCAGTTAGCCCATTGTTTAATCTAAATAAAATTCTTCAATATATTCAAGTTCTTTGTTTTAAATTATAATCTTCTTACTGTTATTTAATCACATTATCAAGAAAAATGATAAAAGTCATCACAATAATAATCATAAAAGCTAAATGTCGGTCGGTCAAGCGATCATGCTCAATTTCTCTGAATTTGATGAATTACACGAGTCTAATTCCACTTTTCTACTATAATACTTTCTCTTTTGATTGCCCGTTCCTGTTTTAACTGAATTTAATTGCTAATAGGTATAATAGCTCCTAAATTTCTGCACTTTTTCTGCTATAGACACAGAAGTGCATTTACACTCTATCAATGCCTGTGAGAAATAAGTCAAAAATTAGCACAAATCTAAGCTTAGGAACTATTATCAAAAAGCCTTTCTTAAAGTAGACTTAACATACAAATTATATGAAGGGAAGAGGACAATGCATAACTGGGCAATATCCCAATACAACCTGAACATGCATCTGTGGTTAAAGGATGCCCATTGTGCAGCATAGAACAGCGGACAACAACTGAATTTGAGTGAAATCTTTAAGAAATCCTAATGTGTATTTTGTGTGTTTTTGTATACTATGTTTTTAATCACTAATCAAATAAAGTTAACCAAGCTACAAATATTTTGTATTCCTGTCTTAACAGCTAAAAATAAAATAGGCAAGGCTAGATTTGAACTGGCTGACTTACGATTTGAACACACATCAGATCCTACAAGCGAAAACCCTGGATATCTTGCAACACCTGAACTTTTGCAAATAAAATTAATTTCTGAGCGACAATTTCTCCAAAGCATGTAAATTATTGTCCAGAATTGTAATGGCACAATTATTTTGAGAAAATGTGGGGAAAAGTAAAAACAACGTATAATCGAAGGTCATGGATTGGCTCCTAGATCTGAAAATATTTGTCGAGTTTTTGGGTGGGAGTGGCATGCAAATCTCATAGGCAGATACGCGAGGGATCAAGCTATTGATGGGGTGTGAGCTAAGTGTGAGGAGGTGAGGTATCATTCAGCTTTATCATTAGACTGAATTTTTATTTAAGTTCATTCAAAGAAGCTCAAAATAGGTTATCAACATTATAGTCCTTTATTTCACTTCAGCCATTAATTAGCTAGACCTTGGTGCAGACATAGTGAACATGGTGATGAATTACTTTTTTAAACTAGATATGTCAAAAGTAAATACTCTACAGCTTTTAACATCCATACACTGATACCTATTGAATAAAAGTTTAAAAGAATTTAAACTAACTATACAAACCACATCATCTGTAAACTTCTTCTGAAGTTTGTAACTTTAATAGATGAATAATTTGGGCAAAATACCAGTCCAAATCAATGTCTCAAATCTTAAATTTATTACCCATAAAAATTAAAGGCTGCATTCGCAACTTTTTCATTCCACCTCTTAAGCAGATAACCTACAGTACAGTATATTAGGCTGTCTAAGTCCTAACAATTTTAATGGCTAAATACAATCACAGATAAGCTTTAGAGAAAACAAAAATTAATGCTTCCCCTCACAGATCATACTTCTTAGAACAGATAAACATATCTTTTCTACAGTACAACTCTCCATTCTTTCAAACATTTTTTTTTGTGGGTAGTAACTGGACCAAAAATTGCTGTCATACACTAGGGTGGATTAAGGGGAAGTGAGGTCTAAAGGTCCTATATTAATGCAAGGCTCTTTCAATATTGATGTTTTTTAAATGCACAAGCAGTCCTCCACTAAGTCAACAGTTAGCCTATACAGCTTTCACATTGAAAATCTTGGTTTGTCGCTGCTGAGGAGAAGTACAGATATCTAACTGTGTAGCTTTGCACTGTGAAAACAAAAGTACACTTTTTGAATTCCAGTTATTACATACACCATTACAAAATACTGGCAATATTTGATAACAATATCTTAAATGGTTAAAATTACTGGTAAACTGCTTTCTTTCAACACTTTTGTTCAGCAAATTAATCTATAATGTCTTCAAAGTGTGAATTATGACAAGACCAATGGTCATGATTGTCAGATCACAGAGTTTCTGCTGTTATGTAGTTAATTTTTGTTCATTTATTACACATTTCATTCTCTAAACTTCATAGTTGGTAATAGGTAACACTGAAAAGGACTGGCATGCAATTTCAATATTTGTTTTCCCAGTTCCTTGGTTTCTAAGAATCTTATACAACTTTATAGCAGACTTATCTTCTTCCCATTTGACAAACTGGCAAAACTGCAGAAACTCATCCAAAATAATATCTTCTAACTCATCACAGTAAATTCACTTGGGTTTCTAAGCAGCTTCCAGAATGTTAGTGTTGGGCATACCAAAAATCCTGTAGGAATACATATTTTGCTTGAAGGGTGAAAAAAAGTTTTAGATAAGGTACCAAACAGAAAATTAGCTAAACAAATCACATCAGTACGGATTGGGGAAAGACTTGTTAACTGGAATGTAGCATGGATGAATAAGAGAAAGCAGAAGGTTGTTATTAATAAAGTCTAGTTAAATTGAACCCTTGTTGCTAGTGTGGTGCCTCAGGGTGAGTACTTGGGCCTTAGCTTTCTATCATTTACATTAATGATATTGATAATGGCGTAATTAGAAAAGTTGTAAAGTTTGCTTATGACATGGATATTTCTAGCTGTATGAACAATGTTGGAGTTATACAAAATTATACGAGTTAATTGGTAAGCAGGCCAATAGTTATCATATTACCATAAATTACATTATGTGCAAGATAATAGAGTTGGGTTGTTATAATTTGTATATAGATGGGAATCTAATGAATAGCATGAATGAAGAAAAGAATCTTGGCACAGTGATGGACAAGTCACTCAAGTCATTGAAGCAACATTCTATTGCTAGTACTAAAACTAACAGAATTTTAGGAAGTATTTAAAAACATGATTACAAGTCAAAAGATGTAATGATCTTTACATCTTTATATACAAATCATTAGCTAGACTACACTTTGAGTACCGTATAGAGTTTTGGTCTCCTTATCTAGAAAAGTATATTGTCTTACAAAAGTTTGAAAAGGGTTCAGAATACTACTGGGATTATTCTGTGGATAGAAGGGTTATCTAAAGGGATAAGACAAAGATATCTATAACTTATTTCCTCTTCAAAAATGGGTAAATTTTTAAAAATTATCTGGGAATTGACATGATAAATCTCTCTGATGTAGTTATGCTGTATTCTGATGACAAACAGATAAGAGAACACAAGTTTAGGATTTGGAAAAAGACAAGCTAGACTCAAGATAAGATACTTTTACTATTTAAACAAGGTGAGTTGCTTATGTAACGAGCTTCCATTGCCATTAGTGAAGGCTCAGGAATTGATGGTGTTCTGAAATATAAAGTGAGGTTTTAATTTTCACTTTTTCTTTTCTTGGGTAAAAGTGTGTTGGAACAGCCTTGAAGGGCCTAATGGTACCTTGTTGACCAAATATCATAACGATATAACCACTACAACTTACAAGTAAACTTGTACAAATATTTTACCATTTGGAACCAGAAAGAGTGATACTAAACACCAAACAAGAAACATTGAAATAAAAATTATGGTACCAAAAAGGAAGAAAATATACTTCTTAAAGGAAATATACCAAATATTTTATGTTATTTCTCATTACGTTTCCATAATAAAATGGAAAGTGAAAAACAACAACAAACAAATGAATACAGAAGAGGAAATTACATATACACTTATACTCTTTTTTTTTTTTCAGAGCCATAATTGCCATAATCTCACTCAATAACGAGGAACACCATTAAATATTTTCTGCATTTCTTCTTTGTATTAAGAAATATAGTCTCTTCCGTTTTGGTGCGATAATTTCCCTTTTAGTAGTATAATTCATTTTTTATTACAAATAGTAGTAGGTTCAGACTATATAATTAAAATAAAAGTATATAGTCTCGATATGGTATATCAATATCATGGCCATAACTGTAACTGTAAGGACACTTAGGTCGTGCTCTCAGTTGTTTTTTAGATTTCTTCACACACTCATGTACATATAATTAGAAATTTTAGCTTGAAACGCAAGTCTAACCATTGCAGAAGATTAGTTAAATAATACATTAAATTCATAACTTTGTTCAAAGCGTTAGGCTTAGTTGTAAAATTAAATTGTTAGGACCTAGACCAATAATTATTTTCCACTTACATGTTAATTATGCACAAAGGTAAGTCATTACCCATGCATCTCGACTCTTCTTCTTATTATTATCTGTCACCAATGTGTTAGTGTTTGTCGTTAAGAAGCATAATTTTCATGGAATAACTACAATTTAGGTAATTTAAATTTTAGTAAGTAACCTATGAGTTCTGTACCATATTGAAAATTACAAGTTAATCTTAAACCCAGAGAGTTAGCAGTTACTATAATACATTGACATAATATAAATATCTAAAGAAAATTATTTGCACTCGAACCTAAAAAAGCGAACGATGAAAATTTGGTAAGATCTTCAGCACTTTCACAAACACACAAAGAAACGGAAGAAACAATTTCCTTTTCTTTTAAAAAATATAATAGTTGGCAATAGTGAATCCATAGGGAGGGGAGTTTGACCTACTTTTCCGATGGACTATCGAAAGTACTCACGCACTTATCAAAAATTCTCGATGCACTCCTATCTGGTAAGGTTCCATAGTCTCCTTTTGAATGTTTTCTACGTATTTTACAAGACCAATGCCGTAGCTTTTCAGTCAAGACCAATATGTTGAAGAATTATTATTATTTTTATGATAGAGATTCCTGGCATATGTAACAACTGCGAGAACTCTATACATTAATTTATCCGGTCCCCTTGTTTTCAAGCTGCATTATAAAGTATGTTAAACAACAACAAAAAAAAAGGAAATAACGAAAACGAAAAGAAGTCTTTAACATATATATACAATCGTTAAACAGTTGGTCTGCTGTATAACATCGAATAATGAATTCGACGAAATGTCATAACGTTATTCACATATCTAAATTACTCAAAATTCCATAGATATTAAACAATAATTTGTGTTTGATAAATTGCCCCCAGTGGCACAGCGGTATGTCTGCGGACTTACAACG